ATGCTTATGTATGATATAAAAAAAATGGGTGCGTGTACTTATGTACGCGCGTGAGAAGTTATACTTCTTTGGCATCATTAAAAATAGAAAAATACACAACATGTCAAAATCTTCTGTCACACAATGATAAAGAAAAGACGTATGTAATAAAAAACAATAAAACAAATAACGGATGTCTTACATTATATTTAAATAATCTATTAAATTTTTGTCACGAACTTTTTATTAAATGTTCTATTAAATTTATTTCTTTATTTTGTAAATATTAAATAACCAATAATAAATATTCAACATTGATAATTTAATAATATTTAGTATTAATTATATTAAATAATGATATTTTAATTTATATCAATAAATAATACATAGGGATAACTAACCTCAATTATATTGGAGCACTTAAAAAAGTATTTTAGCACAATTTTTTCACTAATATTCACAAATAGTAAATAATATTAATCCAAATATTCAATTTAAATCACTACTGAATATATTTTATTGCCACATATATAATTCGCACTTGTATGAAAATAAAACACGTGTTGTGACTGTAAAAACTAAAACCATGTGGATAAATATTATAAATAAATATGAAAACAGTGATCAGAGGCGACAAGCGTACCAACATGCGCGACTAAGAGAGGTTTTATTTCTATTTCGTTGGTAGCTTTTTTCCGAGACTTAATGAATTCGGTTGAGTGGGCAACTTCATCCTGTTAATTTTATGTTACAGTGATGCGCGCGCATCTTGAAATTTCACTCTCATCAGTTTTTCATAACGCGCCTAAAGAAGTATAACTTCAAAAATGTTTTACTTACTGCCATCCTTTGCCCCGCGTAGAATTGTCTTTGCGCCAAGAAGGGTAATCCGTAGGGATTAGGGGGTACAAATGGATTAGGTTGTTGGTACTGGGGACTAAAGAACATTGGTGCTGGTTGGGGTGGGAACATTCCTGGATTTGGAAACGGTCTGAACATGGCTGGCGAATATGGATTCTAGAAAATTAAAAAACAATTTTTTTTATTTCAGTTTAATTCTGACTTATGTACTTTTATTTTTTATAGTTTTAAAGATCGTTGTTTAATGAACAAACTTACTGGTCTGTACGCTATAATTGTAGGATTTAATTTTTCGCTACCAAAGGGTTGACCGCTTGTGTAAATGGCATTTTCGTGGTCTAGTGTCATTCCTTCTTCCTGTTTGTGGGGTTGTTGTGTCGACGGTGGCGGGGTTGGGGATGCAGACGAAGCTTGATCATAATATGAAGCACATTTAAGACAAGCTGCTTTCATTTCTTTTCGAATTTGTTTAACGACTTCGGATCCAAAACAACTTTCGTAAATCTAATTGTAAATTGAAGATAGAAAGGAATTAAATACGTGATGTAAAATACAAAATTGTTTTGTTTTTACTTTCATCATTGCATATTTCCTTATAAATTTGTCTTCTCCACCAAAACTGTTCACTAAAGTGATAGCAGAAACGAGGAAAAGTAAATACCGAAGAACCATCGTAGTTTTCTCTTTCTATAAAGATTCTAGTACAATATAGTGGACTCTGAAACAGATTACATTAAAAATATTTAGTGGAAAGAACTACCACTAACAAAAAACTTCCGCACAATATTTTCCTAGCTTTTTTTTTACATGGTATTCTTTGTCTCCCTTAAAAGCCTTTCCTCTCAGAATTTTATTAAAATAATGTACAATAAAAGGCGTTTATTGATTGGCATTGTAAAATACTACCAAAATGAAGATTGCCAAAGACATTAATATTTTGTTGTATTCGTTAGAAATCAATTACATAACTTCCGGTTATTGTATGTATATGTAATCCTTATATTGTGTGTACTGTTATCATTTTTGAAAATATTTAATTAATCAATCAATCATTTGTACTTATATCTATTATAAAAATTACTGTTATTTCGCTGTTTTGAGACGAAATTTCTTCAGCTGCAATAGCAGGGACGTGGCTGCAGGTAGATCCCCGATCCATTGGATGTTTTGGCCCATATGAGAACTTTTTTGCCCCGTGGGCTATTTGTGACCGTAGACAAAACACATTTTCAAATCTCCGCATTCAGAAATTATTTCTTTGATTTATTCGTATCGATATGATAATAAGAGGTAACGGTTTATCTTACACATATTATGTGCCTAGATACTAAAACCTACACAAATAGCGAATATACGGAATTATTTTACTCAACCTTGTGTGAAATTGAACTAGAAAAGACTTTGCTATACTTTGCCCGAAGTAATTTCATTTTCCGTTATTAATTCGCATAATGTATTTTATGCAGCAGAAAATTGTAATTAGATGTGTTATTAGCGGATTTTTGCATTTTGTAGTTGAATCTTTAAAGGTAGACAATTCAAATAGCGGAAGTAATTGTTAGATAAATCAGAAAGGGCGCTAAACAATTTCCTTGTTTAAGAAAGCACGGAAGACCAGAAATGTTTNAAAAAGCATGATGGCCGACATCGACAACAATACTACAACAATTACAAATTATAATGGCCGACCACAAAAAGCATGATGGCCGACACTAACGACAATTGAAAAGTATAATGGCCGACTACAGTAAATAATGACCGACTGTGACAGCAATATCACAATATGCTATCCTGATAACATTATTTCCTTAAAAATAATAACCACATTCGCAGCAACGAGTAAACAAAGTAAAAGAGTGAAAAGTGACGTGTTTTATAACTTACCAATAGTTCTTCCCAAGTTTGACCCCCTGAGAGCCCCAGAACTTGCAACTACAGCACAACTTTTGAAGTAACGGTTATCAAATAATTCTTTTCTAGGAAGGTAATTTTTGAAATGGCTATCAATATACTCAATATCCTTCTTTTTTATTGTGTGTACTTTAAGTGATAAGAACTTTTTTAATATAGTTTGTGGTGTGTTTTCTAAGTAAGGCATCTTTGTGCCTGTGAATGTTACATTGTATAGATTACTTGTTTCTTTAAGGACATTACCCTCTTCCACTAAAACTTTATTAAGTTCTGCTAGAATATTTTTTCTGTATGCATGTGTTTTTTCTTCGCATGTACTTGCATTGTCTGTTTTTAAACAAACATATTTATTCGTATCCATATGAAAGCTGGTTTGTAAACTCAAAAATCTTGGTTGACTGTTTTTCAGAACAATCACTGTGGAGTTATCTTTAAATGAATGCTTAATTCGAAATCTCTTTTCTGTTACATTATGATTCTTATTAGAATCATTATAATAGGATTGTGGATATCCATGGTTGTAGTAATAAATTTCCTGGTCATAATTTAGTGTTGTAGATTGAACATCTTTACCATCATTCATCCAATAATATGACCATAATAAATACATATAAATGCATACTCCAAAAAATACTATATTTATAAAAATCCATGTTGCCAGCACTAGTGTTCTCATATTCTACAAAAGAAATTACTTTCAATGAAAATAAAAACAGTAATAGCAAGCAGACACTTTAATAATTATAAAGATTCTCTAGTAATAGTAACAGCTAAATAAATAATATTCTCTTGTTAGAATACGAAAACACTTTAATGCTTGCTAAGCTTACTAACAAAAATAAAGTAACTCAGTTATGTAACAGCTAACATTTATTTAAAACATATAAATACAGGTTTATAAATGCATTTTTCAATCAAATGCTATTACCTTACTAATGAAAAGTATTTCGTACTTGTAGAACTAAACTGTTTTCACAACCACTGCATATCTAGCCTAATTAAAAATCTCTTTCACATTTCCCTTAACATGAAATAGTTTTAGGTTTTTGGAGACCCTTTGGAGAGCACCTACAAACTAACAAAATAAGAAAAATTAATTAATTATCATTAATATGCAAGCTTTCAATTAAAATATTCTCAAATACCTCAAAGATGTATATTTGATTGAGATAGAAGCTGAATCCACTTATAATTTAAAATCGTATCCTTTGGTATCCCCTGAGAATTCAAGATTTAGGTCAAATCAAAATTAAACCACTGATATTTCACCCTCTTAACCACTTTTCTGTGTGGCTGTGGCTGCTCATTAACTTAAGTAAAGTTAGTAAAACCAGCACCAAATCATGAGTTATTCAACTTATTGTGTGGCTAATTGTTTCTCATGGGCTTACTCGTAGTGTTCATGAATATTTTTATGAACTTTGACATAAACAGGTATTCATTCAAAAAGTTGGTCTTAGTTATACTGTGGTCTTAGTAGACCTTGAGCACTTTAGTTACCATTGAGACTAATGCTATGGATTAATGAATGTAAATGTATATAAGTACTGAAACCCTTTGTACCCTTTGTGTATCTATTATCCACTATTATCTATGGTACTGAAATAACCTTAAACATTGCTGTATTCAATACAAAGTTATTCTTAACTATTTATTATAATAGCAAAAGAATATTGGAAATGTTAGTATAGTTATTTTTTTTTTTTTATTGAATAATAAGAGCCAACAACCTTTTCACAGTATGATATAAAAGGAATAACCAGGTAGTAATGAATGTGTCTGTTGTGGAAGAATTTAAAAGAAGTTGGGTAACTTCTACAATAGGAATAATTTTATTCTTTTGTGGTTTATGGCTTCTGACTTGGAATGAGGTTTGTGCATGATATTTCTACATACACTGTCCTTTTGAAGTGAACTGTATATCCACTTTAGGGGCGAGCAGTGAACCATGCTAATTCTCTAGATGAGGCCTTCAATAATGTCATAACTATAAATGCTTTTGATAAAATTCAACCAGAATTTGAAGGACGTCTTGTCCATATTAATGGACCAATATCAACTAGTGAACCTTTGACTGAACCAGACTATGGTATTTCAATTCAAGCAGTAAAACTCAAAAGAAGAGTTCAAATGTACCAGTGGATTGAAGAACGAACGTATAACTTTGCATTTAGATTAATGTTAATGTACAAACAGGAATTTTTTATTGTAGGCCAAGTGATTATTCAAATATTGACACTGTAGGGCATTTTGAAAAAACAGAAGATTCCCATTACTATTATGTAACAGAATGGAGAGATAAACTGGTGGACAGTAGTAATTTCTATTTTAGACATGGGCATGAAAATCCTTTGTAATTAATCACTTTATTAGTAAATCTATCAGGTCCATATACAGCTTACTTTTTTAAAGGGGGGTCACACATAAAAAGAAATTAAAAGAATGTCCTTCAGCTTATAGTCAAGCAGAATTTCACTTATACAAAAGTACAACTGCTAAGCATTTACTTCTACCTTAGTTAATCAAGTTTCAAATTTCCTTGTAACCCCTAAGACTTCTGCATATGTGCCTGGTACCTGCAAGCTACAAAGCTTTTGCTTAAATAGTTTCCACCTCATAAAAGATTTCTTTTAGAGCAATGCCTTTAAATAGTTTTATTCACATAGCACCTGTTGCTAAAGTAGGTAATTTGATTCTCAGCAATGAATTAAAACAGAAGTTTGTAAATTATGAAGAGGTCACAGGTGATGAAAGACCTGAAAGATCTGATATTAAACTGCATATGGGGATCTATTATCATTGTGATGACGTATGGAACCCAGAAGTAGGAGACATTAGAGTTCAGTTTTATTATGCTGGCTTAATTGGTGAAGAAGTTAGTAGCTACTAATATTCACACAATTAGAAATTAAGTAGACATTAATTCTTACGTTTTACTAATTATAGGTCAGTATAATAGGCATGCAAAAAGATGGTGTTATTGTTCCATATCTGACATCAAAGGGGCATCAAATTCTTTTACTTAGACATGGAATTTTAACAGTTTCACAAATGTTTACAGAGGAACATAAAGATGCTCGAATAGAGACTTGGAAATTACGTGGTGCCGGCGTAGCCGTTCTTTATGCCTCATCTATTTGTTTAACCAGACTAATTAGATTATTAAGTATGTTCAGATCTTTCTTTAGTCATTTAGATTATATTTTGATTTATGTATTCAATTTTAAGTGCTCCGTTCAACAATACTGCGGTCAATGGCGTTGAGTGAAAGTGGCTCAAAGTGTAGTTTTGCAGTTTCCTTGTCAGTTTCTTTACTGATTATGTCAACAGCTTGGATAGTGTATAGGCCTTGGTTGGGAGCAGCCTTACTTATGGCTGCATTTAGTCCTTTTATATATTCTACACTTGGTATAATTGACATAACACAAAATTAATCAAGTATTTTTTTATCATTAACTGTTTCAGTTCTAGTCAAAATGGTTTTGATTCTATTTTGTGCTGTATTTCTATTGTAGGAAATATAAGTAAAATAAACGATTTATAAGAAAATTATGTAACATTCGGTCAAATTCATTGTTCTTAAGGTTGTTTTGGTATTGTCTTTGTCTACATTACGAGTTTTGTTAACTTTTGCGTTTGCGACAGTTGTTTCTTCTTTCGGCATCCTCAGGGTAGTGTTTATTGCATGATGTTATTGCGTACTATTGGTTATAAATTGTGTTCTATTCGGAGTCTAGTTAGCCTTTCTTATAGGATTTATTGTGTTCAGTATATCTTTCTTTTATTTTCCTTCCTGTTTGTCCGTTGTATATTTTACTTTATGTACTTTCGCACACTAACTAGCTTTTGCTTGGGATTTATATTATCTCTTTGCTAACCATATACTAAAACCACGATTTTTATTTAAGACAGCAGCAAGCAGTATTATTAAATTAATCGGAAATAGTTATTATAATTTAAATAGCAATTGGAGATTATTAAATCTTCATTGTGGATAGTCTTCACTGCAATCATTAGAGCATTCAGGGTTGCATAACTATAACTCCATACAACTCTGCAGTACATAACCTATCAAAATAGTGTTATTGCTATAATGTTTTTAAAGCTTTTAAGTTATATTTTCTTATTGTTTTTAATAAATAAGTTTATTGTGCTTGTGAAATGTATTGAATGCTCCTTAGAAGATAACAAAAAATGTACAAATGGATTTGAAAACAAATATATTGAGGGTACGTACATTAACTGGTTGTTTTTGGGAAAATGAAAAGTTTAATTGAATTAAATTGTTTTAGAAGCAAATACAAAGTATTCCATAATATTTAAACAGATTGAAGAGGCAAGGAAAACGTTTACAACATGTAACAACACAAAATGTAGCTGTTATGCATCTGTAATAGAAAATGATTTAAAGATATTTGGAGATGGTATTGATAAAGCCATGATGGAGAAAGTTGCCTCTAAGTAGGGTTTATAGATCTAATTTGTTAATAAATATACTTAATCAATTTTGTTTAGAGGTACAAAATACCAAATCATTGATCATCATCTATATCGAGATAAAAATTGCATGTTTCCATCAAGATGTTCTGGAATTGAGCATTTTATCATTAAATTACTTCCTAAACTTCCCAATATGGAGTTGATTATTAATACTAGAGATTGGCCACAAATACATAAAGAATATGGTATATTTGGTCCAGTGTTTTCTTTTAGTAAAACGGGTGATTATCATGATATTATGTATCCCACTTGGTCTTTTTGGGAAGGCGGACCAGCAATTAGTTTATATCCCAGGGGAATTGGTATAGTTTATTTATGTGACGACTAAATGGAGCTACTGAATTGTGTTATAGGAAGGTGGGATCAGCATAGGGAAGAAATAGGAAAAGTGGCTAATGAGACTGCTTGGGAAAATAAGATACTGAAAGCATTTTTCAGAGGTTCTAGGACAAGTCAAGAGCGTGATGCTTTAATTATATTGTCTAGAGAAAATCCAGAACTTGTCGATGCAAAATATACTAAAAATCAAGCGTGGAAATCTGATGCTGTTAGTTGAATTGCGTTTTACTGAATTGAATTCTGAGTTTTTTAACTTATTTTATTCTAGGACACCTTGTATGCCTCTCCTGCTGAAGAAGTAACATTTACTGAGCATTGCAAATATAAGTATCTGTTCAATTTCAGAGGGGTGGCAGCCAGTTTTAGGTTTAAACACATTCTATTGTGCAAGTCGGTTGTTTTTCATGTCGGTCATGAATGGCTTGAATTTTTTTATTCTGCTTTGAAACCGTGGATTCATTATGTACCAGTAGACTCTAATTCTCGAAAAGAAGACTTAAAGTTTCTGATAGAATTTATGAAAAAACATGACGATGTTGCAAAAGAGATTGCCCAAGACGGTTTTAAAATAATTTGGAATAACTTAAAAATGACTGATATTGTATGTTATTGGAGGAAACTGCTTTTGAAATATGCGAAACTTTTAAAATACAAAGTAAAAAAAGATCCAAATCTCATTAGAATCTCATAATTTTTTGAAACTTTTACCCAATGGAGATAACAGTGACAATAATATATAATGTAACTATTTTGTAAATGTTTCTCTTTCCTTTTCTTATTTTCGACAAAGGAACTGTTAATAAACATTCCATATTGAAAATGCCTGTTAAAACTAATATTTATTTATATATTAAGATTTTTATGAAATGTTAAAGTTTTGGAAGCTTATTAAAATACCTAGCTAATTTTTGTTCTTTTACCTTTTTGATATTATTATGTAATATGTGTAGGACAATAATAATTAATCGTATGTAATAAAAATACTCAATGGCTGTTCAGTAATAAATCAGTATGACAATAATAAATAATAATTAATGTTGTGATGTTAGGTGTATGATGTACGTTTTATTTGGGTGGATATTTACAAAATAAAGAGAATAAATTCTAAAAAATGTTTTATTAAAACCCTACACAATCGTGTAAACCATTAAATTTCAGCGGTAAAATCCTTTAATTATTGTAATTAATTTGATTCAACTGCTGAAATTCAATCACAACCAACATTATTAACTAATCTACACAAACCATTGCAAGTTTAATATCTACGTAAATAAAAAATATTCTTTATTATTTTCCTTAGGCATTGACTAAGTGTATAATAATTTAATTAGTTTCAAAAGATCAATATGTGAGACCCTCTGGAAAAGTAATTCTTCAAACACTTGTAATTAAGTCTTTTCTCCCTTACATTATTCGCCCTTTTTATTTTATAAAAACGTATCCAAGTCCAAACTTGCATCGCTTCCGTACAAAAATTCGTACATTGATGAAGCTAGTTCGTCGATATCGTTATCGTTAGTTTTCAAATCTTTTCCGTGCCTTCTTATTTCCATTTCTCCTTCGAAATCTTCATCAATTCCTGCATATTTTTCTCTGATATCTTTCATTATACATGCCTCTAACTTCTTGTGCTTATAACACTTAAAGAAGAACATAGGCCTAACAAGTTCTCTAGATAGCGGTGACTTTTCTTTATTAACTTCAGGAACGCATTGCTGAAATGTTTTTTTTTGTTACCATTAGAAAAATTAAGAAACATGAAGAAATCTCAGTATCAATTACAATAGTGATAATCTGATAATAATCGGCGAATAGTTAAGCTTAAGTAAAAAATAAAACAATTAAGTTAGTGTTAAATAGCATTAAATTTTAGGAAATTTAGTGAAAACCGCATCTAAATCGGTTAAGAAACAAGGGAGTAACCCTTTCTTTTACAAATTATCTACTTTAATGCATAAAGTGGCGCTTAGCTTTGTTTACATCCGCATACCTTTCAGTGCAGGTGCACTGAACTTGACCCAGTTATAGTACAATCGCAAGATGGCCGTCAACGTAACAGCCAATCAGATGCGTTAAACGTGTTTAAAACAATTAACATGCATACTAAAGTTAGTCACCCTCGATGCACTCGTAGGGTGTACATCGTTGCATCAAATGCATGGTTATGATTACGTAAAAACTTATAATTGTTGCTCTGCTAGTTAAAAGTTTCATTAGTAACAAACGTTTTAAAGCAATCAGTCAAAGCAAATCAATTTGTTCAAAATTTTTTTAAGCTTATAAAATCATGTGATATTTACAACTGAAACATTTACTTTTGAGTACCTACAAAAAATTTAAGATTAAAGTAATTTATGATCGTTATCATCATCATTGATTAATTATTTATCATATATAAATAACACATTACGTTTTTTACAATTGGTATAACTTACCGAAAATTGTCGACAGAAATGTACTCCTTCTTGAATATCACTTCGCAATTCATTTGCAACAGGCAAATTTCCGATACGTTCGTGAATTTTTTCGTAATTGGGTTCCAAATTATCATTTAAATATCCTAGCTCTTGCATCACGCATGTAACGTTCTTTCCCTTTGCACTCAGTCGTGAGGATAGTAGATCAAGTTGACCCTTTATGTCCATATTTCTCTGGTAAAAATAAAATCCACATTATTATAATGTAGATATGTACCTACTCATGAATGTTTTTGTACATAGAACCTTTGTTTTAATGTATAATTAATGCACATAGATTCAGAAATTTAGATCTGTAATCTGCATCAAAAAAAATGGGTGCGTGTACTTATGTACGCGCGTGAGAAGTTATACTTCTTTGGCATCATTAAATAATACATAGGGATAACTAACCTTAATTATATTGGAGCACTTAAAAAAGTATTTTAGCACAATTTTTTCACTAATATTCACAAATAGTAAATAATATTAATCCAAATATTCAATTTAAATCACTACTGAATATATTTTATTGCCACATATATAATTCGCACTTGTATGAAAATAAAACACGTGTTGTGACTGTAAAAACTAAAACCATGTGGATAAATATTATAAATAAATATGAAAACAGTGATCAGAGGCGACAAGCGTACCAACATGCGCGACTAAGAGAGGTTTTATTTCTATTTCGTTGGTAGCTTTTTTCCGAGACTTAATGAATTCGGTTGAGTGGGCAACTTCATCCTGTTAATTTTGTGTTACAGTGATGCGCGCGCATCTTGAAATTTCACTCTCATCAGTTTTTCATAACGCGCCTAAAGAAGTATAACTTCAAAAATTTTTTACTTACTGCCATCCTTTGCCCCGCGTAGAATTGTCTTTGCGCCAAGAAGGGTAATCCGTAGGGATTAGGGGGTACAAATGGATTAGGTTGTTGGTACTGGGGACTAAAGAACATTGGTGCTGGTTGGGGTGGGAACATTCCTGGATTTGGAAACGGTCTGAACATGGCTGGCGAATATGGATTCTAGAATATTAAAAAACAATTTTTTTTATTTCAGTTTAATTCTGACTTATGTACTTTTATTTTTTATAGTTTTAAAGATCGTTGTTTAATGAACAAACTTACTGGTCTGTACGCTATAATTGTAGGATTTAATTTTTCGCTACCAAAGGGTTGACCGCTTGTGTAAATGGCATTTTCGTGGTCTAGTGTCATTCCTTCTTCCTGTTTGTGGGGTTGTTGTGTCGACGGTGGCGGGGTTGGGGATGCAGACGAAGCTTGATCATAATATGAAGCACATTTAAGACAAGCTGCTTTCATTTCTTTTCGAATTTGTTTAACGACTTCGGATCCAAAACAACTTTCGTAAATCTAATTGTAAATTGAAGATAGAAAGGAATTAAATACGTGATGTAAAATACAAAATTGTTTTGTTTTTACTTTCATCATTGCATATTTCCTTATAAATTTGTCTTCTCCACCAAAACTGTTCACTAAAGTGATAGCAGAAACGAGGAAAAGTAAATACCGAAGAACCATCGTAGTTTTCTCTTTCTATAAAGATTCTAGTACAATATAGTGGACTCTGAAACAGATTACATTAAAAATATTTAGTGGAAAGAACTACCACTAACAAAAAACTTCCGCACAATATTTTCCTAGCTTTTTTTTTACATGGTATTCTTTGTCTCCCTTAAAAGCCTTTCCTCTCAGAATTTTATTAAAATAATGTACAATAAAAGGCGTTTATTGATTGGCATTGTAAAATACTACCAAAATGAAGATTGCCAAAGACATTAATATTTTGTTGTATTCGTTAGAAATCAATTACATAACTTCCGGTTATTGTATGTATATGTAATCCTTATATTGTGTGTACTGTTATCATTTTTGAAAATATTTAATTAATCAATCAATCATTTGTACTTATATCTATTATAAAAATTACTGTTATTTCGCTGTTTTGAGACGAAATTTCTTCAGCTGCAATAGCAGGGACGTGGCTGCAGGTAGATCCCCGATCCATTGGATGTTTTGGCCCATATGAGAACTTTTTTGCCCCGTGGGCTATTTGTGACCGTAGACAAAACACATTTTCAAATCTCCGCATTCAGAAATTATTTCTTTGATTTATTCGTATCGATATGATAATAAGAGGTAACGGTTTATCTTACACATATTATGTGCCTAGATACTAAAACCTACACAAATAGCGAATATACGGAATTATTTTACTCAACCTTGTGTGAAATTGAACTAGAAAAGACTTTGCTATACTTTGCCCGAAGTAATTTCATTTTCCGTTATTAATTCGCATAATGTATTTTATGCAGCAGAAAATTGTAATTAGATGTGTTATTAGCGGATTTTTGCATTTTGTAGTTGAATCTTTAAAGGTAGACAATTCAAATAGCGGAAGTAATTGTTAGATAAATCAGAAAGGGCGCTAAACAATTTCCTTGTTTAAGAAAGCACGGAAGACCAGAAATGTTTTTGTAAATCGTGTAGATAACTGGTAAACACTGTAATACTTTTACAACTTCTACTTATTTTCTTATTAATGTTGTTGTTGTAGAGTATCTTGTTGAACGGCTTTTTTTAACTCTTTTTTAACATGGGTCTTCTTGAAAAGTAATAAGGACTTTTCAGTCTGTTATTAGTTGGTTCATTTATCAACTATAACCCACCAAAGAAAGTAAACCAAACCTTTATTTACTGTTTGCATTTTCATGAGTGTTTCTCGTTCAACTCCATACAGATGATATCGTAAAGAGTTGCTACCTGTTATTAGATGGTTAAAGTAATTGCTACATAAGTTATTTATTTCCTAGGTCGGAAAGTTAATATTACAGCTCTGTATTTCCTTTAGAAGACCCTCGTTAATAATTATTCAATTTCGACCTATTCAATCATTAAAGTAGAAGTGATTTTCCAATACCCTGTAGCTTGGAATAAAGCAAACAAAATACTAAACTAAAACGTTGAATATATTTTTTCTTTAAGGATGTTTGGGAGGTACAATCGGAGACAAGAGTACATAAAATTAGGAATTCGTGATTAATTAAGTTTTGTAGTATATCATGAGGTAAATAAATACTATCTATACTAAAAAAAATTTGGAATTTGACCAAAAACTTTGAATAAAATAAGAAATAACGAATAATATGGAAAATTTTTAACTGACTTTTGACAGTGAATATGCCTTGGTTTCAACTTCGAAACAAAACAATATTTAGTATTAATCTCTATTTATAATGAGCGTAAAACTTTTTAATATGTTTAAATAATAATTAAAACTTTAAAATTGCATTCATTTCAGACAATTATAAATATTATCTTTATATTATCGGGTAAGAACGAGACTTTCAGTTAATTTTTCATTTTTTCCTCGATAACCATTTAGTGAATTTGAATAACCTTACGCTAAAGTGATTCTCCAGAGTTCAAGTTACTTATTATAAAAGTTTGAAATTACTGGTTGCATTTTTTCTGTTAATAAAAATAAATTTTATGTGTTCGGTTAACGAATCTCCACAAAATGATACAATTTTTTAACATTTCAATAACTTTTTAACGGTTCAGTGAATCGATTTGTAATTTTTACAGGAGTTTTAGAATTGAATGAGGAACGTTCTTCCAAATTTTTATTTGTCTCGTAGCATTTTGACATACCGCCAAAACATCCTTAAAAAAGATCCGTGTAACGAGTAATCAATAAATGATAGACGGCTCTGTCTAACTGTTGTTGAGAAAGTTTTTGATATTTTTAATCGTGTAATAAACCGGAAATAAGTAATTATAAATAAATAATTACTGCCGCGAATAAGTTTGGACTTGTGACCTATAAAGCCTTACCAAATTTGAGTTCTTAGTTTCACCTTACCGTCTATTTGTTAATATTCCATCCGACATTTCGACTTAGATAACTTAGTAAGAAGAAAATTAGGATTAGGCAGAAAATTGAATTCAATTTACGAAATCTTCATCAGAGAGACAGAATTCAAAAATATTGTAAATTGTTTAATATTCTTACGTGTATGTTTTTTAAATGGCATTTAAGGATTTTATTATCCTGCTTAAATAGCACCTTGTACATGACACAAATTCTTATTACCACTCATTAGAAACTAGCACCTAAACTAATGCAGAAAACAGGGAACATAAACTACTTCTTAGTTTTTAATATAAATAAGTACTAACGTAAGTAATAATTATTATTTAAACTAGCCTTGCGGTAACTTAATTACTTTTTATTACTTATGAGCGACAGTAATGAACTGTAAAAAGTAGCTGTTGAGTCAACTACAAACTGTCGCGTACACAAAATTCCTTATGTGTTTTTAGTTAAAAAAAATATTATTGTTGACAGTAAAATAATAAATAAATAATTAACAACGGTAAGAGAGAATCATTAGTTCAACTTTTTCCATATGAAATTTCAAAAATTATTGACGGCTTTATGATGGTTTTTGAATATTATCTGGTACAAAATGTACAAATAATATTACATCCCTCTGAATTTTGGAGACGGTTTCTAAATCAGACACCTAATACCCATGTTAGAGTTTTAAGATATATGGTGTCCCCAAGCAGTTTTCAATGAAATTAGAATATATTTTAGGCTTTGAGTATATTCGTTGATTTTCTGATTCATCTAGGACAATTATCTGATGTAAGTATACAAATCCGTAGATTAAGCACTTGCTATAGGTTCTGAAAATTCGCAAAAATCTCAAACTCATTATTTTGGGTCTTCATCATGAGGTCGTCAGTCCTAAGACTGGTTAGTCACGCACTCTTTCCTATCCTAAGCTAATCTTCGCATTTCCCTAAAACTAGAATATCCCACATCCTTAACTATGTATTTGCGAACAGTAATCTAATTTAGGTCTACCTCTACTCCTCTTAACTCCTGTTTCTGCCTCTAATATGTCTCTGACTAGACCTTCATGCTTGAGAAGGTGTTTTATTTTCATTTATTTTCATACAATACTATTTTGTCAATACCGCTTCCATTTTATTTGAAGCTATCTCTGTCTTAAATTTAGAATCGAGAAATCTTTGAGAAGCCCGTGTCTTTTCTACATTACTGGCATATTACCTAGCTCTTGCTTTATTTTGGATTTAAAACTATTTTTGGCAAAGATTTTTAGAAGATAACTATATAATAACGTTTAACTAACTTCATGTACAACAACACCTACCTAAAAAGTGTATGTATATTGCATATGAGTATATTACCTTCGGATGTATGTAAATTATAACATGTTTATAATAAAGTTCAAAATTATATTATTATATAAACATATAATTGGTAATAAGTGCATTGTCGGAAGAGGTTTTTGCGGTGCATTGTAATTTATTATTAAATCAGATGTAGACAGAAAAATTGTTTATATTTGATCAACGACCTTTGTTATTTTATAAGCAGGGTCACTCACTACATTGCAGAAGATTTCTTGCTATAATGTTGCACTTATAATCAAAGATAATTAAACTCAACGAAAATGAAACAAAAAAAGATAAAATAGATTTTTTTCATGATAAAATATTTGATTGGAAATTCGAAGGAATGATATTTAAATTTTCGGAGAATTTGTATCCAAAGAAGTTTTATTTTTCAGAAACATTTTTTGAATTAATTGTTATCACAAAAAGCTATTAATTAATTAATTAGAATAATAGCTGAATCTGAATACCTAGTTACATGTATTTATACGATTTGATTCAAAAATCTCATCGGTAACTGTAATTTTTACCAAAAACCTAGGAAAGGAATTAAAACTTTCAAAGAAATCAACATCATATTTACTTGTACCGTTTATAAATATTCACATATAAATTTTGAACCGACAAAATAGTTAACGAAAATAGAAAACAAATACCAATGCTTACCGGTAACTACAAAGTAACTAGTTCAAAAGCCGATGGATGGATGTAATCTGTAAATGGAAAACAACCAATCACGTTAATAATGCACTTAAGTACAAGTAGAACCTTCGTGTTGGGCGCCACCAGAACTTTTCGCCTTGGAGACGGTCTCGCGGTGTTTTTATATAAGAGTCACACGTCGACCGACATCGCACATCGTATTTCTTCTTCGGCTACCGAGACCACCTGAAGTGGCTGGGTTCCGATGGTGCTTCTGGCGAGCTCGTACGCGACCTCCACAATTACCGCTTCAAGAGTTCAAGTTCAAACCGTATGTTGATGATGATGATGAAGACGACGGTGTTACGCCGACGTCCGTCGATGGTATATTCCAAATGGCAAATATTTATTATGCGTGCGAATACCATGGATGGACTTATAATAGTTTGTTGATGACTAGGTACCACACATCTGCATTCTTTTAATATACCTGCATTTGTGAATAAGTTCTCATTGCAAGTTTATCTTCAAGCTCATTGTGTATTATTAGAGAACTTGGAAATGAGAAGTGTTCACATAATTAATAAGATTCTCGTTTATAATTAATGATTATACTTAGTGTGATGCTCACAGTGGATGGGAAGATATCTCAAGAGGCTCTTTTCTCATTTTATAAGTATTCTGGCTAACTACTTACTTCTTGTATACCGTAAGGTATCAATTGTATAAAAGGCTAGTATAAAATCAACAAATTTGAGCCACTAATGATGGTGCTAGCGTTTTAAGTATCTTTAGAAAATCCAAATGAAATACTTTGCGTTCCCTCCTGAGAGTTATTTTAGAAATCAATAATGTTCAGGAATTACCGAATTTTAGGCCAAGTACCTGACTTTCTCTAATGGTGTTGCCCTATCTGAACCCTTTTACGGTACGCCCTATTTACCCTGGTGGATACTCTTTCTGTTGAGCCACACTGGGCAGACCTATCCGGACCAGGACTGATGCCTGATTAAGCCCAAATGTTTTAAGGTGTTACATTCATGATCTGGTCCAAATTAGCTCGAGAGTATCCCCAAGGCCATATATTTCGGTCCAATCCAAGATTCAGAAGAAACAATAACACGTTTCGTCTTAAATTGAGGACTTTGTCAAGGTAGGTTTCGTATAGTTAACTACAATTTTTTATAATTAATATTCTGTAATACAAAAATTTACCATGATGAAGTCCATAGTTTAAGGCGAAGCGTGAGACTGTTGACTTTAAAATAATAAAAAAATCGGTTGTCTGTAAAGTCGGTTTACTGACGATAGTTGAACGTGACAACGTCATAAGAAAATACTGATGGAATGGTTTCATTTTTCAAAAGAAAATTTTAATTTTATTTGTTTGATAGATATTTTGTATGGATATAGAGAAGGAGGTAAATGGAAATGTATTATTGTTTAGCACCTGTCCACGCGGACGCATCGCTCACTCAAGTAGGAGAGAGACAGATGTCGAACGCTGCCGATCGCGGAGGCCGATTGTGCCTCTTTGTCGCTCGTTCCGCGCTCTTGCTTGCACTTGAAGCCTTAAATGGAACGCCTCAGAGCGAGGTAACGCCGCATGAGTCATGTTTTTTCGTGCGTGCAGCCGGCTCCATCGAATTATAAGACGTTGTCACGTCAAAAACATTTATTAAACAGATATAGGTATAAATTGTACCGAATACTGTATGATAGTGCCTAGTAGCTTTGTCGTTGACGTTTTTAATCGAGGGAAATAAGCAAAAAGTGATTTCTAATTTGCAGTAAATAACAGAATAATAAACGCCCGTCAAATTACAAACCTAGAATTTTCCCTAGTATTTTACCCTAAGAATGTAATGGAATAATAAGCCTTCTAAATAAGTTCTCTTAAACATTCCTCGACTTAAATATACGCCTTGCGGTAGTCTTCTTCTTAATTCCTCTATCCATTACGTGGAGAAAAAAATTATCGTTAATAATAGTAATACAGAAGATTGAGAAATTATGTTTGGCAAGCAACTAGAAGAATGGCACAAAAAATGCGAAACTGGAGTGCTACGTAAAATAGACGTAATGCAAATAAAAAATATATATGCTACACTGATGAAAAAATATATTGTCTTGACTCTAGCGATTCAATAGTCTTCGTCTTGTTGTCTTCAGTAATGATTTTTTTTTATTTTGAAAGTTCTTGCATCAATTAATTTTCACAGTAATTTTTTCGTTCATGATTATCAAATTAATATCTCAATAGATAGATAGATAATAGCTTAATTGTTATTCTATTTACATTAGATCTGTGTGTTCTTCTGTCTTCTCGTTTCGATGTGTCAATATCGTGCCCTACGTTTTTTCCCCTTTCCCTCTCCTTCTTTTTCCTTGTTCGTATTATATTCCACATCCTTAAGTATTGCAGCATCATAAGAATTAAAGCTAATTATTCTAAAATTTTCTCAGTACTAGTAGCGCCCGTCTTTTTTGATATTACCAAAATTATATTATATATTATTTATATCAACGTCTGCGTTTTTAATTTAAATGTATTTCTATATTCTTCAATCAGCATCTGGTATGCAAAACAACGTACGAAAAATTGGCGATAACGGTAGGCGTTGTATGCTACAAATTAATGTAGAAAGTGATAAAGTTATTACATTACAAGGACAATAAAGAAGTGCAATATATATCTAGTTATCTTTCTGACCTACGTTAACATTAAATTTATCGTCTGTATGGTATACATATTGGTACTAAATTGTTTCCAAAGAACAGTTTAGCATTGAATTTCTTGTTTATTAAACGCGATGGTTTGTGGTAGTGCTTTGGACAAATCAAATTGTATGAAGAAGAAAAGATTTAAGACCATTTACTCGTAAGTTAATCCGTATATATTTTTGCAGTATGTTTTATGTATATAGATTAAAGACAAATAAAGAATTAAAGAATGAGAAAAACGATGTAAAATAGAGGAACAAAATGTAGCAAAATCTACCAAAAAAAAGCAAGGATGTACCATTATATGGGACAAGATGTTAAATATACTTAAAATGTACGAGGGTGGATTGATAAGTTTCCGGCCTGACCAAGAAAAACAAGGTTTTTAAAAATTTTTTTTTTTTATTTCTCAACATAATCTCCTCCAAGGCTGATACATTTCTCATAGCGGTGTTCCAGTCTATTAATGCCATCTCTATAGACTGATTCGTCAAGCTCCTCAAAATAACCATTTACAGCTTCGATTACTTCTTCATTGTCCGCAAATCTCTTACCGCCAAGCCATTTTTTGAGATTAGGGAACAGAAAATAGTCACTCGGGGCTAGGTCTGGAGAGTAAGGAGGGTGCGGCATCATTTCAAACTTTAGATCGTTGATTTTAGCCGTCGCAACGATTGACGTGTGCGCTGGTGCGTTATCGTGATGAAACAAGATTTTTTTCTTCGCCAGATGAGGTCGTTTAATTTTCACCTCGTGGCTCAAACGTTGCAATAAGTCTGCGTAGTATTGACCAGTGATAGTATTACCCTTTGCAAGGTAATCAATGTATATAATACCTCTTGCATCCCAAAAAACAGTAGCCATAACCTTGTTCGCCGAAAAAATTGTTTTTGCCTTCTTTGGAGTTGGTTCCCCTGGTCCAATCCACTGTTTAGACTGTTCTTTGGTTTCAGGAGTGTAGTGGTGGACCCACGTTTCGTCAACGGTTACGAATCGACGCAAAAATTCGCTTGGATTACGCTTATACAATGACAAATTTGCGGTAGAAATGTTTTTTCGAATCAATTTTTGGTCGACTGTTAGCAAACGCGGCACCCATCTTGCACAGAGCTTTTCAATATGCAAATGTTGGTGCAAAATATGTTGCACACGTTCATATGACATCTTACAGGTCTCAGCTATCTCACGCACTTTCAATCTGCGGTCTCCCAGCACTATTTGATAAATTTTTTCGATCATATCTGGAGTTGTGACCTCAACGGGGCGTCCTGAGCGAGGCCCATCAGAGGTGCTCACACGACCCTTTTTAAACTCGGAAACCCACTGCTTAACGGATGAATATGACGAGGAGGATGTCCCCAGTGTTGAGTCCATCTCTTTTTTAATTTCCTTCGGCGTTAACCCCTTCAAATAAAAGTATTTGATGACAGCACGATTTTCCTGCTTTTCCATTTTTACGAAAACCACAGAGGCGTCTTGTTCAGCGTGCTGTCAAACCTACACTAGCAAGGAGATCGGGCTGAAACTATAGCTACAAGCTATCCAAGGATGGTACTATAGAATGTCACCTCAAGGTAGGCCTAGTGGCGTCATCTCTTGGTTAGGCCGGAAACTTATCAATCCACCCTCGTAGGAATGAGTTACAAAGATAGAAGAGTGATACTTAGTTTGTATAAAGAGCAACAGGCAGTTATAGAGCTAGGGCTGCAACGTAGAGAATTAAATATTAAAAAGGGAGTCAGACAGGGATGCACACTGTCACCTCTACTTTTTAATCTATACATCGAAGACAGTCCAACTGTAGGGATAGATATACAGATGCAAAAGATTAGTATAGTTAGATATGCAGATGATATAGAAGTATTAGCATCTAGCAAGGAGGAGTTAGAGATAGCTTTAAATAAAATGGAAACGGTATTGACAAAACTGTATTGTATGAAAATAAATAAAAATAAAACAAAAATAATGGTATGCAAGGGAAGAAAAAGTAGGGAAAGAGCGAATATAAAAATAGGAAACGAAAAATTAGAAGAAGTGGCTGATTTTAGGTATCTAGGAAGTCAGATAAGTCAGAACGCAAAGAGTAGTATGGATATAAAGCAGATAGCTCAGGGTCGTTTCGCTTTTAGTAAAAAGAAGTCATTTCTATGTTCGCGAACGGTTTAAATTCGGAAAAGGTTGTTAAAGGTGTATGTTTGGAGCGCGGCGTTGTACGGGTGTGAAACATGGACAGTGGGCGCGGCGGAAAAGAAAAGGTTAGAAGCCTTCGAAATGTAGTGTTATAGGCTGATGAGAATACCGTGGACAGAGAAGGTTAGAAATGAAGAGATATTAGAATGAATAGGAGAACAGAGGACTCTATGGAAGTAAATAAAAAATAGGCGAGATAGGTTGGTAGGACACCTTCTCAGGCATGAAGGTCTAGTCAGAGACATATTAGAGGCAGAAACAGGAGTTAGGAGGGGTAGAAGTAGACCTAGATTAGATTACTGTTCGCAAATAGTTAAGGATTTAGGATGTTGTAGTTTTAGGGAAAATGCGAAGTTTAGCTCAGAATAGGAAAGAGTGGAGGTACGTGTCCAGCCAGTCTTAGGACTGACGACCTTATGATGATGTACCATTAAGTTTTTATTCTAACACGGCGTAGGTACCATTCGATTTTACTTTCACAAAAAATATCTTGGATAATTAATTGACATAACTCGATCCATCCGGCGT